CATAGGCGGAGCTTGATAAATTTAGTTGGGGGGGCTCAAGCACCGATTATTTTAATTATATATTTTAACCTATGTAGTTTGAAATAATCTTAATATATCTTAATACAAATATGAACAAATTTCAAATAGACTAAAATATATAAATGTATTGCATGCTATATTACTATTAAAATTTACAATATTAATACAAATACAGAAAAAAATTTAAAAATTGATCATTATAATTGATTATTTAACACTGTCAAAGTGTTAACTGAATTCTTCTTGAACCACATTTGACAAATTCTTCAAGAATCTGTTTTGATTCAATTGATGTCTTGACTAATTCATTTTCTATGTGTATTATGGCCAAATTACTGAATCGATTTTGAATCATAGAAGTCCTTAACCAATTTTTAATCCTTCTCATTGCTGAGAAGGACCGCTCACATGAAGCTGAGCTTACAGGTATACTTAGTGCAACTTGTAACAAATTGTGCAAATTAGGATACAATTCTAATGTAACGGTTGATAGTAAATCTTGAATAGTCCAATTTTTGATTTGAGAATTTAAATAATTATTGACAATCATCATTTCAGCTTTTAAAACATCCATTTTTATTTTTAAGTTATGACTATAATATTCAATGAATTCTAATGAACCATCAAAATCAAGAATAAAGAAGTTATCAATTGATTTTGCCAATTTTTGGCTTTCATCAGAAAACCTAGTTTTCATTCTATTAGTTATATTATCAATGATTGTGTTATAAACATTGGCTTTCCAATATTTTTCACCTGTTAAATTGTCCTCACGAGATCCAATTGTTGAAGTCACTAGAGAATTGTTCAAACGTTGATTATCAACTGGTTTCCTTTTTTTCGACGACTCTTCATTATTCAAACAAATTCCAAATTTTTTTGAAAAATTAGTAATATCATCCCACAATAGTTTAAAACTTTTATCAGACCTTTTGTCTTGTAATGTTGATATTACACCATTAATTGCAGAAGTTGCTTGGCCCAATGTCATATTTTTTTTTTGTAAAGTTTGACTTAATAAGTCGATAGTTAATAAAATGTCATGAAATACAAATAAATTAAAAATAAATTGTGCTTTTTTAATTCCTTTTAAAAGACCAACAGCTTGAATAGCATATTTATTTTTGTTATTATTAATTTCTTCTTCTAATGTATTTATTATGGATTCGTAATTCATTTTAACGTTATTGCAATTTTTGTACCTACATGCCCATCTAGTAGTACTTAGCTGTGTAAGTTCAAGTGGTTTTAACCCCAATTTTTTTTGCATCAAAATAAATGTGCTGTGGTTGAATGGTTGAGAAAAGTGAATATAAAGTGATTCTAATAAATTAAAAAAAGTTACTGAACTTATATTTTTACATGTGTCAGTGACCACCAAGGCTAGCTTATGTGCTGCACAGTGAAAGTATACAGCAGTTGGATACTTTTCTCTAATCTTAGTCTGTAGTCCTCCAACTGCGCCTGACATCACACTAGCACCGTCATATGTTTGTGCAACAATGGGTATGTCAGCTATTTCTAATTGTTTTAGTTCATTTATAATAATATTTTTTAAACTTTCTGCATCCCTTGACTGAGAGCAATCAATAAATTTTATAAAACGTTCACATATTTCAAATCCATTACAATATCTCACACACAAACTCAATTGTTCTTCTTTAAATGAACGAGCTTCATCACACATTAATGAATACTTTCCACATTTTCTAATTTCATTTGTTATGACTTTTATAGTTGAATTGGATACAATATTAAGAATTTCATTTTGGATATCATGGCTAGTATATGATAAATATGCATGATATTTTACATTAAAATTGTTGTCAAATTTACAAAATAGTTCACATAGTTCTAAAAAATTTCCTTTATTAGAACTTTCTTGTTTTTCATTGTGTCCTCTTAAAGCTAGTCCCTGTCTAGCCAAGTATAAAATAATATCAATAATCTTTTGTATATACATCTGATTATTTAAAATGTCTGTTTTAAATTGATCAGAAAGTTGAGTATGGACATTTCCATGGATTTTTGATTGTTTGTATTGTGTGTATTTTTCTATGCTACTACAATGGCTTTTACAGTTAGAATGTTTTTCTAATTTATCACTTAATTTTTTCCAATTATTAAAACCAATTTTTTTAAAAATGTCTTCTGATGTATTTAAATTATGAAAATGTCTACATACAAAACAAAATAAGGAATCTTGATGTACACTATATTCAATCCAGAAGTATTTTTCATAGTATTTACTAGAAAATGAACGATTCTGTTTTCCTATTTTTTTTTAATGGATATGACAAAATTGGTTGTTTTGGGTCTGACTCTAAACTTCCTAAATCTATTACTGGATTACTATTTTCATTTTTAGATTTATTTAAACATAAAGAATTGTTACCGTCATTGTTTTCTGGATTTTCTATTGGTTCAGTCGGTTCAGACGGTTCAGTTTCAATATTTGTTGAAATATTTTTTGTAGAACTACTGAAAAATGTTCTGATATCGAGGCGTTTCATATTTATTCCCAATGAAATAATATTACGTTTGCACTTTGCACGTACCTATTTGTACTATTTTGTAGGTTATTTATTACTTTATTACTCAATATTCAAGTATCAGTGTATCACGCACGCACAAACACTGAATTGTCACTGATGTTAAAATTAAATAATAATATTATTATGTAAACAATCATGATCAATTATATAGACAATTTACTATCTACAATATTCAAGATTGATAACAATATTCAATAATAATAATTGTTTAAGGGGGCTGCAGCTCACGTATTTTTCATACGTTTTAGACCAATAAGCGGTGGTAAATTACACATACTTCGGAATGTCCGATTTAAATTTTTTATACATGTTTGAATTCATTGATAAAATATCTAGGTTTCTTAGGAAGTCGATTTTCAATTTTTAATTTAAAATGACCTTAAAATAACCATTTTTTTTTTAGAAATCCCATGAAATAATTGCATTACATTTGTATTTATTTTGGGCACATCTGATTTTAAATAAAAAAATTGATTCCTAAGAAACATGGTCTAGAAGTTTATAAATTCAACCATTTTTTCAAAATTACAATCGGACTTCAGGAAGTATGTTTAATTTACTACCGCTTTTAGTAGTTTTTATAGAATTGCAAACATGAATATATTTAATTTTTCGAGCTGTATTGACATGTGCGTGCGCGTGTGAGAGTTGTTTCCGGCGCGGTTGCCCGACTCGACGTGACAGCGATTCTCGGAAACAATTAGCAGATAAGAATTACTGGATAGGTATACAAGAATAATTAATAGGCAACGATAATAATCAATAATAATAATAATATTTTTCCAAAATTAAATAAAACCAATATTATATAATATACTACCTATGAATCAGTGGCGGCGTGAACTATTTTATTTTATGAGGCAAGTATAAATGCTCGACCACCACCACCTAAATTTTATCACAGACCCGTGGGGGCTTTGCCCCCACACCCCCAATTCACAATTCTACAACGATAATATACTTTGTTGTGTTAATATCAGAAATATAATAAAATTAGTAAATAGTATTAAACATTAGTTGACCATATTTATTTTTTTATTAGGGTTAAGGCTTCGACAACTTAGGTCATTAGCCTGTGGTACTGTAGGGGAGGGTACTGTAGATTTGTGTGTGTTTGTTTTGGGAGAATTTTTTATTTGGGGCACCCGTAAGTATTTGCCATGACCGAGTGGGAGATGGCGTCACTTATTAAATGACTTGCCCCGCGACCAAGGAATCGAGCTGGCACCGGCTGCGTCGCGACCGACACCTTAGACCACTCGGCCACTCCGTCCCCTTGACCATATTTCATATGTGGTTTTTAATATCCGTACCCGGGGGGGGGGGGGGGGGTACCACCACCTAATTGGTCGTGAGGCAATTGCCTCATGAAACACCCTATCACGCCGCCACTGCTATGAATTATGAATAGTATGAATCATTATATTTGAACACTACACTCTGATCAGTTAAGTTGTCTGTGAGTTTCCGGTGGTTTGTGATTTTTTTTCGTTCATTTAAAAAATGGGTAAAGACTGGCGTTTTGGGCGAAAAGCTAGGTGTAAGTTAAGTGCACCTAGGTTAAAAAAACATCGATTGAACAATTTACAATCAAAACTGAAAAAAAGTGATATAGATCAAAGCTGCGATGATCAGGTAATTATACTAACACATATAAAAATTACAATAATATAAATATTCTAAAAAATTGAGTCACTACTTATTCATTATTCTTTTATTTTAATTGTAACAGGAAAAAACACAACTAGTGTCCGAAAATGTTTTGATAGATGATATTATGAAGAATATAGAACTTACTACTGAAACTAGGCAAGTAATTTTGAATAAAAGCTACAACATGAACAATTACCAAAAATGCAAGAAAAAAATATAAATTACATAATAAAAATTCATATACAAATGTGAGTATTATCAAAAATAAGTATATTGTTATTTTATTTAGGGCTAATGAAGAATTTGTTATGACTGATGAAATGTATGAATGCATGCCTTCTACATCTACTCCAAAAGAAAATAATTTTAAAAACAAATTGACTAAGTAATTTATTTATGATTTATGTGAACATAATACCGTATGGTTCTTTTATCAAACAACACTCAATATTTCAAAAAGTGTAAATGTTTTTGAAATATTTTTTTATATACTTTCTAGTCGCTTATAAAACAACGTTTTTATAAGAAAATTATATTTTAGATTCTGAGCGGAGCGATGAATGTATTGGTTTTACAATGATGTGTGTTTTTTTTATTTTTTTATTTTTTTTTTTTATTTTTGTGTCTGTCATCACGTTTTAGGACAGTAAAAGTGCTTGGATTTTCTTAAATAGTACCTTTTCTGATAGGAAAGTGAATCTAGTTGGTACTTTGGGGGGTCAAAAGTAAACATTTCCAAGTAGTTTTCAAAAGCGACGTGAAAAACAAAAGAAAAATTAAGGAAAAACGGGAATTTTTACGCAAAATCGATTTTTAACAAAATTGATTTTGGTTTTTGGTGTAACTCTAAAGCAAATGACCATAGATGCATGAAATTTTCACTGGTTGTTTATATTTGCATTTTCTATACACGATAAAATTTTGAAAATAATTTGACTTTTTTTGAACGGTTTACAGACATTGTCAGTTTTCAATTTTTTTAGTTTTTTTTTCTATAAATATCAATAAATTATTTGTTGGTTAAAAAAGCTTGAAAATTTAATAGAAGGCTACTTGTATATTGTTTCAAAGGCATATGAAAAAAATTAAAAATCGTTAGTCACAGTTTTTATTTATAAGCATTTAAAGTTCAAATCTTGACAAAATACGGAAAAATCACGAAAATTAGCAAATTATTTTGAATTGAAAATTCGTAAAAATTTTTCTTTTGAAATCTAAGGTTTGAAAATGTTATACAAGATTCCTCATAAGATTGTCTACCTTTGTCAAAAAAAAAATGTCTACTAGAAAGTCAAATTAAATTTTTATGAGCGTTTGAAATTCATATTTTTACAACATTTGATATTCACTCGATTTCTTATGTAACGATTTTCTTCTTTTGCTGTAATTAAAAAACGAATGACTGTAGATACTTGAAAATTTCACTGTATGTTTATATATGTTTTTTCTATACACGATAAAATTTTGAAAATAATTTGACTTTTTTTGAGCTGTTTACGGACATTGTCAGTTTTCAATTTTTTTAGTTTTTTTTTCTATAAATATCAATAAAATTTTATTTGTTGGGTAAAAAAGCGTGAAAATTTAATGCAAGGCTCCTGCTATATTGTTACAATAGCAGTTGAAAAATATTAAAAATACATAGACACAATTTTTTTTTAAACGCATTTAAAGTTCAAATTTTGACAAAATTTAACAAAATCTCGAAAATTATCAATCATTGGAATTAAAAAATTATAAAATGTTCAGTTTTTATAACTAAGAGTTGAAAATTTAAAACAAGGTTCCACGTAAGTAGTTAATTATGTTACCAAAAAATCTAAAAAATACATAAACACAGTTTATTTTTATAGTCATTTTAAGTTCAAATTTGGACGAATTACAAATTAAAAAACCTAGAATATTCTTTTTAGTTATTTTGTTGTGATTGTACAATATTATTCTTGGGTACTTGAAACTTCTAAAGTAAACTATTATATATCTGTGATAGTATCACGGTTTGTTGTTGATGTATAACGCGTTATAAGTACCTAATGGATATGATTAATTTGGAATTTATTATAGGTGAATTATTTTTTTAATACCATAGATAAGTATATAATATGTCTTAAACCTAGACTGACATACCGTCTCCGCTCAGAATCGTTTTTCTTATACAATGATATTATATCATTGAATTCAAATTTAATACCATCCATTATACAGTGACCCACTTGTAACCTACTGTACAGCAGAGCGACATCCACTTGCCCACCTTTTTAAATATTGTTTATACTTTAATTGTTTAAGTTTTTTACTTTTTTGATTGACAATACAGTGTTTTGAAAATCGAATTTGGGTTGAAGTTTATGAGTTATAAATATTTAAAGTTTAGACGAGCGGAGTGGAGTGGTTCGGGGTTACCCTGCGAAATATTTGTCCACTTCACCGCTCATCAAACTTTGAATATTTATAACTCATAAACTTCAACCCAAATTCGATTTTCATGTATCAAAATACTAAGAAAAATATTCTGCTTTGGAATATAAAATTAAAACCCTATATTGTCAATCAAAAAATTAAAAAAACTTAAACAATTAAAGGATAAACAATATTTAAAAATATAATTTTTTAATAAAAACGTTGTTTTATAAGTGACTTGAAACTATGTAAAAAAATATTTTCAAAAAAATTAACACTTTTCGAAATACCTAATGAGTGTTGTTTGATAAAAGAATCACTCAGTATAAAAAAAAATTGTTTTGCCACAATAGTTTTCTCATGAATTTCAGTTTGTCATAATGTTTTGTGAAATCAGATTCTTATGGACGAATCAAGATTTTAGAATTTTTTAGTTAATATTTCTTTAATAATAATTTCTACAATTATTTCAAACCATTTTTGCTTTGTAGAATTTAAAAATACATAATGCGTAGAACTAAAAATCATGTGGACTGTGGAGGGTAAAACAAATTTAAGAATACAATTTTAAATTATTATTATTTATTAATTTTTGGCATTTTTTTTAAACAGTGATTATTCGTCAATCTGTCATTATAATGATTTCGAACTTTCAAATAAACCCGATAGTTCCCTAAATAATACTCGTAATATGCTATTGAATGATAACACCGAACCTTCAGGCAGACGACTCGTTGACATCGGTTATTTTTTTAATGAAATAAAAAACATAAAACATGAAGCATTTCATTGCACTTTCTCAAATTTGAAATTTGAACAAGAAATAAGACACGGTTTCCAGAGTACATTTATTTTAAAATGTGAAGTTTGTGGATTAAAAGAAAAAATATTTACAGAAAATCCAGAAAATCCGAAAAATTTAGACGTTAATATGGCATTTACGACGGGTGTGATTAATACTGGTCAAGGCTTTACGCAACTTCAAGAATTATCATCCGTATTAAACATGCCATGCATGGCTAATAAATTATATCAAAAATGTCACAATAAAATAAGTGATTCTATGTATGAAGTAGCGTTTGAAGAAATGAAGGCTGCAGGAGTAGAAGAGGCTAAGAATGCTCTAGAAAAAGGTGAAGTGGACGAACTAGGAAGACCATGTATTACTGTAGTTGCTGACGGAGCTTGGTCAAAGCGCTCATATAAGACCAACTATAATGCGTTATCAGGTGTCGCTACTATAATAGGTTACTATACTAAAAAAGTATTATTCATGGGAGTAAGAAATAAATACTGTGTAATTTGTGAAATTGCATTAAAATCTGGGAAACCAATTCGTTCTCATACTTGTTATAAAAATTGGTCAGGTACATCTACATCCATGGAGTCGGATATTATTGTGGAAGGCTTTAAAGAAAGTATCACAATGCATAATTTAATTTATGCTAAATTAATCGGTGACGGTGATAGTAGCGTCACCAAAAAACTGCATATAGCAAAACCATATGGCCCAAACTTTAAAGTTGTTAAAATTGAATGTACAAACCATATAATGAGAAATTATATAAATCGTTTACGAGAAATGACTACGAAACGTAAGAGTAGTGAAGGCCATATTGTACCTGGAAGTCTTAGACAAATTTTAAAGGACCGATTGAGAAAATTAAGGAGTGGTGTGACCATGGCCATCCAGTATCGTATGGAACAAAATTATACTCATAATGAGAAAGTAAATTTTCTCAAAAAGGATATAATGAATGGTCCATATCATGTTTTTGGCTTACATACAAACTGTAATAAATATTTTTGCAAAAAAAAAAACAATGAAATCAATTATGTACCTGATATGCAATTATGTGGTTTGTTCAGTGATATTATGTCAGCGTTGCATTTATTGGCTCATCATTCTTCGTCTTTAATTTACGGTGTAAATAATAATTGTGTTGAAGGGTACAATAGTTTAGTCGCCAAATTTGTCGGTGGGAAACGTATAAATTTTTCACTGAAAGGTTCCTATCAAACCCGTTGTAGTGCGGCGGTTATTTCACAAAATGCAGGACCCTTATTAATACGCAATTTACACAAAAAAATTACGAACTACAGCCCCGGAAAATTCACCAAATCATTTATAGATAAAAAATTAAGAACAATTAGTCTTAGACGCAAAGCCACTGTTAAACGACTTTTTAAAAGTAGAAGTAAAGTTACTAAATTTAGTGGTCCTGATAAAGATTATGGTGATATTGATACAGAACTAGAGTGTGATCAATTGAACTTGGATCCTCAAGAATTTGAAAATAAAAAAATTGAATTTCTTGAAAAATTGAAAAAAACTAAAGACCAAATTTTGCAGATAGCAAAAGCTACAACAGGTCAATTTCAATGTCAAGAGTGGTTAAAAGAGAGGCAAATACGTCTAACGGCATCAAACTTTGGGAAAATATGTAAACTACGTCCTAATACCAGTAGAAACAATATTTTAGTATCTTTGTTGTACACTAAATTTGAAGGTAATGTTTTGTATACATTATCAACCAATACAATTTTTAATTACATTTATCTAACAATTTTTTTTTAGGTAATGAGTCAACTAAATATGGTATTCAACACGAACCGTTTGCTATTTCCGAGTTTGAAAATATTATGAAAATAAAAATTCACCCAGCTGGGCTTTTTATAGATCCAGAATTTCAATTTTTAGCGGCGAGTCCAGATGGACTCATTGATACAGATGCCTTAGTTGAAATTAAGTGCCCGTCATCGATATCTCAGATGACGCCCACCGAAGCTATTGAAAATGGAACCATAAAATGGGCATGTTTGAAAAATGGAGAATTATTTCTCAAAGAAAACCATAATTATTTTTATCAGGTTCAAGGCCAGCTGCATATAGCACAAAAGCTGTATGGATATTTTGTAATTTGGTCTCCAAAAGGTTAGATATTATGTGAATTTTTTAAAATCAATTATAATTATAATCATCATAATTGATTGTTAATTTTACAGGTTTGCTATTCCAAAAAATAAAAAAAGATGATTCATTTTTTAAAAATAAAATGGAATCTTTTCTCTCTGTATTTTATTATAATCATATGCTTCCGGAAATTTTAAACCCAAAATTAATTGACAAGAAAAGAATAATTGTTCATAAATTCAACAGATATGTATAATGAGTAATTCTGTACCAAACAT